TTTATAACCGTTTTTATAATCGTTTTATTTATATATAATGAAAAAAAAATACTTTATTTCTGAGCAAAAATATTTAAACTTAAATAATGCATAATTGCTTATTGTTTTGGTAATGCTTGCTAGAACTATTAAGAATTGCATACTATTACTGCTGCTTAAGGAGAAAAATGTTTTCATGGAATAGGAATTATTTATATCTAAAAAAAGGTATTTTTTAGCTTTCAAATATCTTGTTTCAACCGACAAAAATTTAAGCTTTTTTTAAAAAAATTAATATTTGTTCTAAGCTAAAGGACAAGTAAAGAGAGGTATGTTATTTAAAGCCAAGAAATAAAAAGTGCGCCGTCCAACCAGGATAATGGTTAGCGACGCTGACTGCCGTATCGAAGGGCCAGGGTTCGAATCCTTAAGAATTCATGGATGTTTGTTAATGTATAGTGTCTGTGTGGCATGCGGCATTCTAAATATGCAGAGAGCCGGAAGTCCTCTCAAGAGGTTGATAGTAGGTGAAGAAGCGTGGAAGATCCTGGGACCTGTTCCCCTAGGTTGCTCTCCTTCAGAATTGGAGGCGAGACTGTACAAGTCGTACTGTCACTTATATGGTGCTCAATGCTTTTGCCAACGACAGGCGCAATCTTTAGCCCTTGCCGCGGTGAACTTCGTGGGCTTGCTCTGGTATCAGAGAACTAATCTGATGTTACTGTCGATCGGGTGGGATAAGCCCCAAACAACAAAACAGAACAACAACAACAACAACAAATAAATAAATAAATAAAACGTGCAGAATTTGTGCTTTAAAACTATTCTGATCTTTGCAGGCATAGGAATTTTATTCAAAATCAGAAAAATTATTTTTATTCCCCTTTGATTTTGCTTTTCCTCATTTTTTGACTTGAAATAATAAGACCATTCCTGTTTGGAATCAGAATCCGAAAAATAGGCCTTTTAAAATAAGAGTAAGGAAAAAAAGTGAGTTTCATTAATAATAAATAAACGGAATTGACCTACGTGAAAAAACGTAACATAGAATCATTCGAAAGAAAATAACATTATCTGCTACTTAACGCAGTCCCCGCAAAGTAATGTAAAACGCTCGTTAAAACTTAATTAATTAAAAGTGTAAAGCTCCATAAATTTACTCTCAAAACTCGTTGAAGTATTCGAGATCGAAATTTTTGTCACAAATCATTGTTTCATTCCTATAATTAATTTAAGACTTTTTAGAGAGCATAGGGCAAATGCAAAAAAAAGCCTTCAGCTTTGACCAACGACGTGTTCCCTTCTAGAAATTAAAGAATAAATAGTTTTTTAGATAGTTTTTAGACCATAACTAATAAGACAAACAAGATGTGACTATATAAATTGTAGAGTCATTAGACGTGAAAAATGAGTAGTGCCTTACCAGGTATTCGAAATCCGGACCTCCCGAATACGCGCCGAATGTGATTCCAGTTACAGCATAAAGGCATGCGGAAGGATGGGAGTAAATATCTTGTAAAATACATAAAAATTTAACATACTGGATGGAAATAATACTATAATTAACTGCATCTTGTAGCGCTTATATTCTATACATTTCCGGGGGAAAATGTTAGGTACTTTGTTTAACAAGCATCACATGAGAGAGGAAAGATGATAAAAGCTTTTTTTAAAGTAACTGAACAAAAAAGAACTGTAATGCAGAATATGTCCCCACTTCTTGGCACGAATGCAAATTTCACATTTTCTTTTGATTAAATGCAAGCTTAATGATGTCCTTTTTCATATTTTTATGGCATAAAATTCCAAAGAGCTGTCCAATTCATTCACTGAACTATGTGAAATTCATGATGAAAGTTGATTACAGCCGTTTATCAGCCACTAAAAATTGAATCAACTACAACAGATTGCCCTTGCTAACAAAGACTTTATCTCGATATCTCAGAGCAATAAGAGATCGCCAGAGCATATGTGGATATCTGAAATGAGTTTGCCAAAAGCCTAGAGATACTCTTTCGTGAGACTAATATTTTGCTCCCTCTGCAAATGTTCCTCTCCAAATTTTGACGAGAGAAACGATAAACATTATCGAGTTCAACTATCGTGTGATATCACAGCTGAATTATCCTATGTAGTCGATATAAAGAATCCTGCTTTTCACATTTGAAGACTTTTCGCACTTGAAATGCCTGTCCATTTTTCTAAATTTACAAAATGATTCATACAAAAACTGGCGCTTTCGAAAGAAGCGCATATTAATATCTTTCTAAAGAATATCTCAGGTTTCCAGTTTATATTTTTAACTTTTCGATATATATTTTGGAACATTCCTGTCAAATCTTATACTAGGTTATTTAATTCAACTTGAGCTAATAGAAAAGGTTTAAAGAAAGAGATACCTGTAAAAACAAGATTAGCTTGCTGCTTGAATTTTGATAATTGTCTCACGTCACAATTAGATGCATAGGCAGATACTGCTCGAGTAAGTCCGTAATATCAGTTTTTTTTTCGTTTAATCGAGTAAAACAAAATACACTAGGGATTTCTGCTTAAGAAGAGACATGCATTTAAGGAGAATTAGCTAAATTCCGTTGCGCATGTGAAACATCGTGAAAACTCAATGCAGCCAATTCATCACCAGGAATTTGAATCTAGTTCAAAATACCAATGTTATATTATCTTATCTACTTGATACTGGGCTTCTAAATTTTCTTCAAGTTTCTTTTAACACGGAAATAACAACAGTTCAATAAGTTGTCTTATAGCCCACACGCATCATGAGCCTAGATTAGTTCAGATTATCAGCTATTTCACGCAGCTCAAATATATATTTTTTACATACATGTTAGCTTTCTTTTTTCAAATTCTTTACTTTATTCACATTCCATAGACACATCTTTGTTCTTAAATAAATATCATATTTTAATCTGTATTTTCATTTGCAATCTGTATTTTTGTCTTGCATTTTGATCACTAAAATTTATCCATTTAAGTTATAATAAAACAATTTAATATATTAATATATCTTAAATTGATTAATTTATTAATAAATAGATAGATATATAAAATAATTCATGGTCTTAATTGAATTTCTGTTCCTTGGAGATGGTATATGGAAAAATGTTCTAATAATATATATATATATATAAATCTATATATGGATCAATCTGTTAAGAAAGACTTAATTATTTAAAATGCTGTTTCACATGCATTAGTTATCATTCAAATGTACCCCAAATTCCCCCTCCCACTCAAAAAAAACAATGTTTAAAATGTATTCTCTGGAATCTGTGGAAGATAGAAACATTCTGAGGTTTAAATTCTCTTAAAGTTATAATATTTAAGGAGACTACCATTAAATCAGATATATGTTGTATAGTTAAAGACGATATTCTTGTCTCTTTCATTTTCAAACCTAAACAACGAGACTTCATCCTATCACCTTGATGTTAAACAATTTGATACCTGACAATAAAGTTATTGAAAATAAACGGCATTTTCCAATGTCCATTTAAATTTTAGGCCAACTAAAATGCATTTAAGAGAACTTTAAAAGAAACCAGACGAGACATTCCTTCTTAGGAAGAGAAATACTAATGTATGATACGCAAAACACGTGATTTTCTTGGAATATATAAGCAAGCAAACAAAAAGAACAAAGGGATCGCAGTTTTGGAGACAAATTTTAGAAATATGCTCGGGCGAGTCTCCTGCAGCCTACTACCGTATATATATGTTTTAAGGACTAACAAAAACATTTATGTTTTTGGTTATTATGCTGTGTGTTTTAAATGATAGTACGTTTCGACATTTTTTATCACTGCGTCCTTTAAACTAAAGTAAATAAACCTATTTATTACCTTTATCCTGCTTTACTGTACATAAAAATTTGAGCTCTCACTTCAGTAATAATGAATATGGATTTTTTTTCGCAAAAATATTTTTACGAATTGTTTTTAACTTTCCTGCGCTTTTGGTGATCATGGAAATCATATTTTCATGTTAATGTCAGAATAATGATTACCCATCTTTGAAACACGTCCAGATTATATCCAAATTTTCTAAATTTCTTACTGTCATACTTTACAATTATTTGTGATAATTTACTGTATTGTTTAACGTATGATAGTCTTTTAAGTAATTAACTTTCATCATTATATGTTTACGCATTCAATTTCCTTTCCTTTCCTTAATTTAGAAATAGGAAGAAAATGCTAGTATTTTGATTCCAAGATGAAGTTCTGTAAAGGCTTATTTACTTGAACTTAAAAAGTCTATAAGGTATTTTCCCTTCCTTTCCGCATGCTTTCATGTGTAACTGGAAGCCCACTCGACGAGTATTCGAGAGGTCCAGGGTTTGAGTCTCGGCGAGAGCAGTGCACATTTTTCATGTCCCCTGCTTTAAAAAAATAATAATGACTCTACAAGTGACACCAAAACTAAAAAAGGTGGTATAGATGGTAATTCGTGGCCACCGGGATTTGGCGACTGGGTCTCCTAATCGTCAGTCGCCCTTTAAAGGGGGTATATAAGGCATTTTCTCCTTCCTTCCAGCATGCCTTCGTCGTATAACTGGAAGCACACTCAACGCATATTCGAGAGACGAAGGGTTCGAGTTCCGGCGAGGGCACTGCACATTCTTCCCGTCAAAGGGGAAAAAACTTATTATCTCTACAAGTCAATTAAATTTTCTTTATTTATGCTATGCATACATTTCTTGTTAACCAAATTAAGGGAAATGATACATTTCAGGCTTCTGCTTTGTAAAATTAATTTTACGTTACTCAGTAACAAGATGAGTAAAACCCGTTTCGACATATTTTCTACAAGTATTACGTTAGGCTGCACGAAGAAAGAAAGAAGCTAATGGTAATGCATCGAAATATGAAAAATTACAAGAAACTTATATCCTGTTGTTCAAATGCATATTTCTATTTTGAAAACATGATGCACTAAAATTATACAATAATAAAAACACTGACTATATTTAACTAGTTAATGACTTGAATTTATTTTTTCAGGCGAGCTCAAGATGCCATCCGGGAAGTACGACAAGCCAGTAATAATTGACAATCATGATGGAACTGTCACATTTAAATATGATCCAAAAGAAGTAGGAACTCATGAATTGCATATCAAACATAACCTCGAACATGTACAAGGTAAGTATTTTCCCAAAATATGAACATAGAATTGGGAATTACAGGAGCATTTAGTTATCATTCTTCTTCGTCATAAAATATAGCATCTTATCGAAATTTTACGTACAAAAATACGACAAGCCAGTAATAATTGCAATCATGATGAACTTTAAAAATATCCAAAAGAAGTAGGAACCGAATTTTAACTAACCTTTACATATATTTTCCCATAAACATAGAATTGGGAATTACAGAATTTAGTTATTTACTTCGTCAAAAATATAGCATCTTATCGAAATTTTACGTACAAAAATATGGCTTTAAAAATATAACCGAATTTTAACTTTTACATATAATAAGAAAGAAAATTTACTAATCAAATAATTATGCGAATGGAATTTTTATCTCTAAGTTTAATTACATACAGATTTTTATAATAGGTGGCTGACTTGAATTGACTTGAGGTTTACCAAGTAAAGGTAATTAAAAAAAATATTGAACATTATTTAATATTTTGATCCAGTGTAAGAAAGCAGCAATACCAAAGTTTAAATGAGAGTTTGTATAACATTAACAGTGCTTTTTGCATGTCATTTCAATTTCAACTTGGATATGCTAAGCAAAGGCAGTCCTGCAGCAATAGTTATACTATATGTCGTGTAGTTAGCGATATACCTTAAAAATTATAATGCCAATGTTATAAATCATTGTAGCGTCATGCTTAGTGTTAAGTCATGCTGTAGTGAAAAAGTAAGAGACTAAAAAGAGAAGACGGCATCATTATAATAAATGCCATTGTAAATCCTCTTCTTTTCGTAGAATAAATAACCATTGAAGCTGCATTTTATTGTACTTACTTTAATATTAGAATAGTCAGATGATTGTTATTTTCCATCGAAATTTAAAAATAAATATCTTTTTGAACAGACAGCCCATTTAAATTCCATGTAGACAATGTTGGCAATGGCACACTCACAGCATATGGACCAGGTCTCGTACATGGAGTAGCAGGAGAGCCTTGCTCTGTAACGGTATCGAATAGCAAAAGTAATGCCATTGGTAAGTATTCAATAACATATTTGCTGCTTCGATTTTATCGTTTGTTGATTATATGTCTTTTATATAGCCAAAATGTCAGTTTTGTATTATGGAATTATAATACTTTTAAATTATTCCTTAAAATATGTAAAATGACGTACGAAATGTCATACCCTTTTTTTATTAGTGCATTTATCATTGAAATATCACAAAATGAATGCATAGTTGTTGTTTGAGCATAAAAAATAAGTTTAGAGCAAAATGTGTACAATTTATCCTCCACTTTGTTGCAAGAAGAAACTCTTGCAAGTAAATTTATTACAACACTCAGGCACACGTCTTCCAGAACTGCACGGCACAACTGTACAATAAGAGCCTTGAGTTGCTCTACATTTGCAAATACAACGTGATGTAACATTACAATTAGATTAATCATGTCGTGCAGGAAAACAAAAACATCATTTGCAGTGTGTGGGTGGCCTTCCTCTTTCATGAACCATTGGGCCTATAAAGACAGACCTGCTACCATTCTTGAGATGTGCAGACACTTGATGGGCGCCGTCAGTCCTTTTCTGATACAATAATAAAAGCCAGTGGCTTCTAGTTATTGACACAATCTGCGAATTAGTTCTTTATGAAATGCTCATCTTATACTAAAGTGAGCACAAAAACGTCTTTGTGTTGTCCCAAACTCATCGTTTCTTCTTCTATTCAACACTCATCTGTTCTTTATCCTCGATTTTCCAAATTACTGTTTCGTGAGATATTAAGAGACCGATTTTGACTGCTCCTGATATCTACCGGATATTTCTTGAATAAAAGCACCAGAATAAAAGTTTCTAACATTTAATACACAATGCTAAAATTTTTGTTAGGTGATTGAATAGTATGATATTTCGTGTCCCACATTTTAGTTCATTATGTTCGTGAAATAATGGCATTTTCATAAAAGCTGGAAAATTTGAACTTAAAGTTTTAATATTAATGCCACTGCAGCTAACGCTTTGTCATAGGTGCTGATATTTAATTTTAATTTTGCCATAACTTAATGAAATATCTAAAACTTAAACATCATTTCAAATACTTATACATATCATTTCCCTTAAAATATGTAGCGCAGTTTTGCATGAAGGAAGTTTAAAAAATCTATTCTTCCATATGATAATTTTGTGTTATATTTAAATAAAAACACTAAAATTTCTTATAATATTAATAAATATTCGCTTTGAAGCGAATCGGACTTAATATTTTATGTCACGAGAGAAAAAAAATAAATTCATATCATGGTTCATATGAACGAAAGTGGTAATTAAACTTATATTTGAAATCTATAGCATGAAGAAAAAGTAAAATAGCTTAACTGGTAAATAATTATTATTGAGAAATTTCTTTCATATCATTGGTATATTAGTAAAGATCACTTGATGAAAGCTTTGATACCTTTTTAGTAAAGGTACAATACTTCAAAGAATATTAGTAAAAACATATTTCTTTTTATTATATAAATCTAGTATAGTACATATTCAACTGTCAACATATATATAACTTTTGAGAAAAATTCTGCATTATAGTTACTATTAATAATACTTTCTATTATTAACTAAAAATTACAAATTGAACTCTAAAAATCTCATAAATATTATGGTGGAGTTACCTGCTACCTACATACCTGCTCCTGAATCTTGAAAAATAATCTAATGAAAAGTGTAAATTTATTTTAGGTAAAATTAGTGTATCAGTAGATGGGCCGTCAAAAGCTGAGGTAAACTGCCATGATAACAAGGATGGTACGATGAGCGTCACATACGTGCCTCCATCTCCTGGGGAATATAAAGTATCTATCAAAGCGGGAGATAAGCACATCAGGGGAAGTCCATTTACAACCAAAATCACAGGTAAGGAAAATAGTATAAGAAAAGGCTGTCATTTTATGTAAGAACTAAGACGAAATTTTTAGAAAAATGTTAATGAATGAATTGTAAAAACGTATCTTATAAACGTGTAACTTTTGTGAACAATATTTTATCAAAATTTACATACATGTAATAAAGAATATTTTCGGTGCCAGATGACGTAGATACATGATTACAGAAGCTGTAAAGACGTAGCAGCAATCGTGGTAGACAACAACCATTCATGAATATCTATATGAATCGGGCCAATCGGCGCGCTTTTTCTTTAACAATTAAGTTTGAGTTTTTCTTATATTTATAATAATATATTTGAGGTAATAAAGATAAACAATTACATATTAGCAGGCACAGAGAAGTAGAGAATAAATGAGTATATTCCAGTAAGGATATTAGCAAAATTGCAGTTCTGCTTTGCTTCTATCGGTTAATTAGACTTTTTGTAGAGTTTTCATATTATTATTGGCTGAAACATTATGTAAGTACATGCATCTTGGGCGTTATATAAGAATGATACGATAAGAACTCATTTTGAAATTTAAATAAACATCCATTTTGAAGGTATAACGGTCATTTGTGTTTTTTGCAGTTTGTGCAGATAATTATTTGCGATTATAAATATAGAAGTACAGACAACAGACAAGAAATATTTGAAATTATAAAATACTAGTATACCATGTGTTGTCTATTTACCAGGAGAACTACCATCGCTTCATAGCAGTCACAAATGACTGACGGTCTCGAAACTACAGAGAACAGTTACGATTCAAACGTTAAGGTTTCGTATTCAAGGAAACTTCTTACTGGACGTAAAACAGAGCCACGGCATTCAATTTGGCACCGAATTAGCCTGTTGAAAGTATGTCTGGAGAAAAATAATTCTGAACACCTCAAATGTACAACGTGCTATCTTAACATAACTAACTTGACAAAACAAGTCCAAGAACTAAGTGTTAAAACTTTTCAACCAAAAACAATCAAAAAGTAGAACAAAATCAAATGGTGGATTAAGGAACTTCGAGCTGCCAGGCAAACGATAAAAGAACTTCGAAGGCGCATGAAAACAGGAAAAAATGTAGAGAAGAGAAAACAAGCCTGGATAGACTATAACAGACAAAGATCTCTTTATCGAACAAAAATCATTGAGGCAAAAGTCATTTATCAACAACTAAGACAATCCTATACAATATAGCCAATATGGCCACATCAAAGGTTTTCAAGAACACAGTTCTACACCTCAAGAAATCTGCAAAGTCCTGACATATGATACAAATGATGCTTCCAGATTCAGAGATTTCCAATCTAGAACCTGACATGACCTTGCAATTCCAGCAACATCAGACGACGCGCCCTTCACTAATAAGGAATTAAGGACCACCTTCCAACATCTCCCCCAAGAAACGAACTTCAATACCAAGCGGTCTTGAGTACAGTATTATCAAGATAGTATTTCTCTTTTCATCTGGTTTTCTTCTTAGCATACTTTAACGAGCTTATGGCATTTTATCACTTTCTAAAAGCTTTAAAAATCGGATAAATTGTCGTTTTCGCTAAGGAAAATAAAAAATTAACAGTCATCTTCTCTTTACGAGCCATCTGTTTACTTTCTCTCGCTGTGAGAGACTTATGAGCGACTGTTCGTCAATGCATTAAAACACCGTGTAGAAAAAGCAAATTATCCAAGTCCATACTAGTTTAGATTTAGAGCAGGGAAATCCACCACCATGCTACAGCGGCTTCAAAGAGCAATACAGAGCAGAAACAACACTGAAAACAAAACTCCCTAGATTTAAATAGAACTCTCCAGATATAAAAGGAACTGCAGAAAACAGAAACACAAAACTCCCTAGATCTAAAAGGAGCCTTCGATTCCCTATCGTGGGTTGCTATCAAGCAGGCACCAAGGTATGTCCAATTAATCTACACAAGACCTTTTGCAATTACCTTGCAAGCAGAAAACCTCTCATCTCTACCATTAATGGCATCATAAGACAACCACAAGTCAGAAGCTGCCCAGAAGATTCATGTGCAGGCTCAGATCTCTAGAACTCCACATTAAACAACTGAGAAGTTACCCGTCGTATGCAAAACTAGTAGTATATGCAGATGACGCCACCTTTTTCATTAGTGGGATTACTCTAGATGACATTGAACAACGTGGTACAGAAGTGTGCTACAGCTTTGCAAATGTATGCCACAGTATTAAATTAACAGTCTCCGACACTAAATTCATAGCGCTGCTCATTCCTAAAAAGGGAAATAATTCAGTCAGGACGCCATGAGTTCTTATCAACGGGAAAAGCATAAATTTTTGCAATGAAATCAAATCCCTAGGACTTGATGGGATAAAGAACTTATCTCACATAGCATACTTTAAAAATTCAAGTCATTATAAACAAAAGAAGTCAACTGCAATGCACCACTTGGGGAAAGAACCCCCACCAAACGATTACTGTGCAATGTAGTAATTTAAATAAATGATTCCGTACGCCGCTGCCATCTGGGCTGTGCCAATGGGAGAACACAAAGTTAAATAGCTAATCTCAATACAATGGCCATTTTCCCTCATTATAACCAGAGCCTTCCGAACAGCATCCGCAGATGCACTTAAAATTTTAGCCGGCCTGTTTTCTCTCCACAACTGTGTTGAGCAAGACTCAGTAGTGACGAAGTTACTCCATCTGCAACAGGAAATTACTATAGTTCCACATTTGTACTGATACAGTTTGCCCTACAACTTACTGCAGCTTGCAACTATTCAGCAGACAGAATAAAAAGCGTCAGAGTCATACTGGCACAGCACACCGACTATGAGCCAACCTCAGCCATCTTCTCAGACGGTTTAAAATCTGATGCAGGTGTAGCTACCCTAGTCCACCTCACAAAATCTGTATAGACATATCACTGGAAAGGGCACCTCGCGGCAAAGACCTTAGCCTTGAAGCAAGTAGTCTGCTGTTCCAGTACACAGGATCTCCGAATTATACAAATAATCTCAGGCAGCCAATCTGCGCTACAAGCGATCCGCAATACTTCACATTCCTCTCAACCAGTAAGGTCCATACAACAATTACTTCGCAACAGCACGCATCTGAACATCACGCTCTATTTGAAGTAGTCAAGTGTTAAATTATAACATGTAAGAAATTAATGCATTCAGGAATTATTTTATTTGTATATTCAACGTAAACTATGGTACACAGATATTTTGTCTAGCCACGAATTAATGTATATAAGTATTAACAACCCTAGTCAAGTACTCATAAAATCAATGTATGTACGTTAATATATTCAAGTTCTCAAGTGTTTTTATTGGAAACAAGTATTCAAGTATATAACTATTATTCAAGTATATAAACAGCATTCATGTAACATAATCATGTATCTATTGTATCAATGCATTTATATACTCAGATAGCACAAGCTTCCAAATAATGAATGTAAATAGGTTTAATGCATTCAAGTGTCTTACTGTAATTTAGTGTAATTAAGCACTCAAGTACATAGCTAATATAACCATGTAGGTTAATCACGTATCCAATGTATTAAAAAGTTTAACTGATGGATAATATTTAATGTAGTATTGTAAGTATTTAATGTATTTAAGAATTAATGCAACGTGCACCCAGGAACATTACCATCATTCTAACAACTAATGTTTATTTATTCATGTAGCTAATATATTCATGTAATATCATCTAGGCTCCTGTTTTTTCGTGTAACTTCATAGAGAAGCAAATAAATTCTCGAGGCAAGTCTTCTGGAAATCGTGGGAGCTTCTGGTTCTCGATAGTGGAGGGGGGTCATATACCTGTTTAACCTTTGTTAGACACCAGCGTCCTCATCCTCCATCACCTGTCACCTGTCCTGCGCTGTTCTACAAAAACTAAAAGAAATCATCATTAATTCATAGGAGAAAGTCGATTACCTATGTCATTCGAAAGTCATTCCGATCGAAATGAACTTTGTTTCTGCACCTGACCCCAGAAAAAAAAGAGTTCCTGCAACTTTAAGTGGTAGAATTTACCTCCTGTCTACCTTCGCGCAGATGTTAACGTGGCAAGAGCTAGAAGCTCTCTTCAGTCGCAGCAGTACTGATGATTTCTGCACCACTCCTCATGTAAGAGCTTGCTCCTACTCGATCGTATCGGACGTAAACCTCCGTAGACATACGGTCTTGTATTCGTTTGGCCGAGAAGCGTATCACGTAAGAGGTCGCTCGAGAGCGGGTGAGACAATGCTAAAGAAGAGAGCGCGGTAAGGAGAGCCGTAACCTCAGAATACTAATACAATCAGAATAACGTTCTCCTCAAACGCTATGCGTAAGAGGGATCTAAGCTGATAAAAGCAGATGTAAAATTCATCCTCTCAGGGAAAAAGCCAAATTATCCCATGAGTGTTTGTCAAGGACTGTCTGTTCGTACTGACATCAATAAAATTCGTGAGAAAGTTCGTTTTACGGGTTTCTCTGTCAAAACGATTGCCTAGTCTTCGAGGAAAACTGGAGATGAAACAGTACTGCTTCTGGTACTTTCGCTGCGCGACACTGTACTGAACCGGGAAGACAAATTAACTAACTCAGAAAGCTTGCCGGTCAGACCATCAGCATCAAAAATCATTCGGAGAAATCTCCTACGGATGTGTTTCAGAAACCAGCATTTTGATCACTGCTAGTTCGAATGTTACAGTAACCCAATGTATTGCAAGTCAGGACAAGAACACATCACCTATACTTGCAAACTACCTAAGGAGAAAAACAACCAACATGTATCAGCTGCAAATCTGAACTTTTACCATTATACACACGTTACCCTTAGCACCCTAAATTTCGACGCTATTCTGCGTCGAAACATATGAGTTCCGCGTATTTGAAAAAAAGAATCTACACTTAACTACAGGAATATAATATAATGCGGGATCAATTGCAGTAGATAGAAAGCGTTAATTGCTGATTAATGAACACCTGTTAAAACTCAAGTATTTCACAGAACATTACTTTTGAAATGGCGCAGCTGAGAGCGATTTATTATAAGCCTGCTACTGGTTTTTGGATAGAAAGAAAAAGTAGCCAAATTAAAAAGAAAGCTTAAAAAATTGGAAAGGGGAAGAGCTGACACCTGGATTAATATCCTAGATTGCTTGTTATGATGATTTCAATTTATTTCAATGTTTTGTGCAATTTTCCTTTATTAGACTGCCATCCACTGTCAATAGACTGCTACTCTCTTATTTTCATAGCATTAGATTCTTATTTATAAAACATGTGGCAAATTTTCGAGTTTTTTTTTAGCATACTAAAAGTCATCATGTTTCCCCAGAAATAAAATACAGCATTTTCAATTTAGCTTGAGAGCAGTTTGCACATTTCATAAATACTACTTAAATTCTTTGGAATTTTTAATACTTTTCATCTATTAAATTAAATTTAACATTTTCAAATTTGCGCCGTAACAAAATTGCGCCGTTAGATATTCCACATATAGCCAGAGTCGCATTAGCACTTTCTGCTTTACATTATATCAAGTTACAAAGATTATTTATAAGCATGCTTTGCAGATTTTGCTAATTTTCATATCCAGAATATTTTCTTACAATATTAAACGCTGTCATCCTGCTCAGAGTTTGTTCTGAGAAATATGTTCTGTCATAAAAATAACAAGTCGGGTATACTAGTTATTTTATAACAACAGCAGTACCCATACATGTTTTTAATTTGGTTTTCTTTCATTCTTAAGTGTTCATAAAATACTTTATCAAGATTTATAAAACTTCCGAAATAAAGCAACCAGGCTGTTATTTTGTTTTTAAACATGACTACCACATTTGTTATCTTTAAAGTTAATGCAAGGTCTTTTAAAGTTTTCTGAAATTTATATTTATTTGAATCTTTTATAAAATTAACAGCTATTAAAATTAAGTATGAATCCAAACCTAGAAGTTAAATTTAGAATTAAAGATATTTATGCCAAGTTTTGCTCTTATTTTCTAGTCGAATTCATAAATAAACAAGCTTCCAAAGTTTCGTGTTAATGTTGCTAAAAAACAAAAATGGTACTTTTCCGTTATCTAACCTGCCACATGTTTTGGTGGGATTTTTACTTGTAAATACAAAGTTAAATGTCTTACATTAAACACACGTGCGCACACACAAAGAGTTTTGTTCCCAGATTGCGCTGTCATTGGCTCTTGTTGCGTGTGATGATGTGGAGCAAAAGGCCTAGCCTAGCGAACTCCGTAAATTAAACTTCCTTGATCTCTGATCTCTTTCATTGACTCTAAAAGCGTGGTAGGTTCATAGAGGGAAAGTACTAAAATAGTTGTCTTTTAAAAATGTCATGCTACTCTAGAGTAGAAAAAAAGTGTACTTTCAAACATATTTTAAATGAAGAAATAAAAATAAATGAGTAGTTTGTCTTTCACTTTTTTAAAATATTTTCTATAAAATATCGAAATTTAGAATTAATCACGTTTCAAAGTTTATATGATGGGCGATATAATTATTTGATTGAAGAAATTTTCCCGGAAATGTTCAGCATTGTATCAATACAAAGTAATGCGTTAACTTGCAACAAATTATAGTATCGGTGAACTCGATTCCCAGCAACGGTATGGTTGAGTTTTTGTTTCTCACCTTCGAAAATTTGATAAGTTTTCAAAATATGCATTGTTAATGTTTAATGCATCACAACAAAAATCATATCAAGTAATAATTGCTGTATTTACTTACTAATAGTTGTGTTATTTAGCCGAAGGTCGCAAGCGCAGCCAAATCACCTTCGGTCATTCCAGTGAGGTATCATTGAACGTTCAAGAGAAGGAGGTGAAATGTCTCAATGCCAGCATCGTAGCACCATCAGGATTAGAAGAACCATGTTTCGTTAAAAAACGTCAAGATGGATCTTTAGGTAAAAATCTTTTCTTAATAATTTTTAAAATGTTGTAGAAAATAATAAAATATCACTATAATATCAAGGTCAAAAGTCATAAGATACATATTGCCATATTTAAAGAGTGAAATATTGTTTTCCAGTAAATTATGAGTTACCTTTCATTAAAATCAAGTAATTTAGTATCAAAATTCTCTTTAGTCTTTAGTACACAAAGTAACATTGATAAGGTACTATTATAACTTTTATGATTAATAACGTATCTTACGTATTCTTGCTTAAGAGAGCAAAGATGAAATTGTTTTATTCTGCCTATAAAACATTTTGCCATTTCTCTTTCATTAATGAATTTTAACAAAACATTATGTTGCTTTTTTGATATAAATTTATGTGTGGGGTTAAATTCGTTTAAATGATTTTACGGAGATTCATTACAGGCATTCAATGTACAATGTATTCTGTTCGAATTGCTGTCTTTTGAATAAATTAAGGAATATTTAAATAACTCCTTAAAACGGATTGCTTTTAATAAAAGAACCTACAATTAAAATGTTTTGTCAATTCTAAATAAAATCATAAATTATAGCATTTCTTATTATTAGGGAACATAAACATATACGAAACGTTCGAAGACTATAAGTGAAAAATTTCCACATAGACAGAGAAAATGGTGTAAAGGATCTTTGGTTCAAATAAATGTTAGCAGAAGACGCCACTCGTGCTTAAAAAATGTAACCTATAGTTGTGGCTTAAATAAAAGATAATGAATTTACTTAACTAAGTAAAAATAAGTTAGTCTAATGGCTACACAACTTAAAGTAACGTGCAAGTTGGCCCTGACCTTATGGTCGGAATGGCAAGCCTAATGGCGAGAATAACACAACGCCGCAGAATACTACTTTCAGGAGAATCGGAATCAGCATCGGGGCCTTCAGCAGGCAGAACACTCTCAGATTCTACTCTCTGAAAACTTCCTTTCTATCTCATTTGAATATCAAGCGAGCTAGAAATATACATTCTGTCAGGAAAATGGAAATGAGGAGGATAGAAAAGCGGTTTAACATAAAACAGCTGATTAAAGAACTAAGTCTTTAATGAATTGAAAGAAAGCTGAATAAATAAATAACAAGAAAAATATTCTATTATAGCTTTCACGGCGAAATTTACGGTTATATTATAAGCTCTAAATTATTAAAGAAACTTTTGACTACAGTAGGGGAACAAAAATGTATTTCTCGAGAAGGATATAAAGTTTTCTTCGATATAATACATTTCCGACATTAAATGAAATTTAAATGATTCAAATAAAATCTATTTATGCTTTTTTAGACAAACTTTTAACAAGATTAAAATTGCTATTTTAAATTTAAAAGGAAGTTTAATGCAAAATATGCCATTTTATAGGTAATTTATTACTATTATTTTTTAATTTAAGAATTAATAATTTTTATTTTTTATTTTTCTAGGTATATCATTTACACCAAGAGAAGAAGGCGAGCATCTAGTAAATGTAAAGAAATTAGGAAATCATCTACCTGGAAGCCCTTTTAAAATTAATGTACTGGTTAAAGATATCGGTAATGCTTCCAAGGTTAAAATAACTGGAAATGGCTTGAAGGAAGGAAAAACGCACACTGAGAATCAATTTGTTCTTCACACTTCAGATGCGGGTAAGTTTTGCATCATATTTAGATGCTAATTAATATTCGAGAATAGTTTCCCCCCTTGTTTTCTTATATTAAAACGTTCTGATATTCTCATTGATTTTCTGTCCAATAATTCCAGTTTGTTGCGTCTTTTAAAAATGCGATACGCACAAATAAAAGCACTTAATCCAAAAGTTCTATTCAATGATTCTTACGTAGAAGAGACACGCTGTAAATCAAAATATAAACTTTGATTTAAGAAAAAGCAAGAAAATAACAAATTAGTGTAGATTTTTATAAAAGTCTATCGATTTCCAGAGCGACTGATATAGGTCCCTCTATTTAAAGAACATAGTAATTCTTCCTGCCTTAAAAAAAAAGGTCTGTACTAGTGACCTACGAAACTAATACAGCACTATAAGAAATCCGTGGCAATTTAATATTTTAGGGGGAAAGGGGGGAATTCAAATTTACATAGGTAATTAGGAAAATTTTTAAATATTCTTTCAATAATAAAAATTGTCTCATCTTTAAATAATGTAACAAAACAAGCATAATCTAACATGTACAAATATTAAAGACTTCAAGTATTATAATGCCTTTATAAAAGATAACCTAAACATCTTTTTCATTTATCTTTTTAAAAAAATTATTTAAATTTTTAATAAAGATGTTTGTACATTATTTCCCGAAATGAGAAATTCACATGAAATGTTTACTATATTTTCTTATAATACTACGGATGTCATAAAATTTAATTAATTAATCATTAACACTCAGTTTCCTTTTCTGTTAATATATTGAATACTTTTGAAATTATGGATTAGGTAAAACATTAATATAAATGTTTTAATATAACTGAAGATTAAGCGTAAAATACCTAAAAATTATGTTAAATTAAAATTAAAAAATATTATTATAACATTTTTAGCGAAATTCAAATACTCTATAAGATAAAAAGCGACGCACAAGTATGAGTTATCCGAATGGGATAGAACTCCGTATACCCATACCTTACGATAGAATATACGAATGATTAACTTTTGGCCGCCAGTGACAGACTATAGCTAAAGCTGCATAACATTGCAACAGAACATTCGGATGGTGGGTAAAACTGAAGATTTTTGCTCTTTTAGCTGTGTTTTATGAATAAAATGTTCAGTTTCTATGACAGTGTTAGCGTTTCGTTTTCAATACATGTGCATCACATCTACTAATTTTTGTCACATTCGCATTAATCATTCTTGATCCATTACTTTTTGTGTTATAGAGTATGTTTCATATCTTCACGTTGACTAAAAAAATCGCATCATTAATAAAAATAAATTTGCAGTTTTTTAACATTGGGTAAAAATTAAAATCTTCCATTGAAAACGTTTTAAATTAAATCATTAAATACGTCACTTGTATTTTTATGTCCACGGTTCCTTAGATGTAAAAAAAAAGCATTAAATATCACATAGACTTTAAATACTGTTCACCTTCCTTAAACAAAACTAGGTTCTTTACATTTTTCTGGTATTAGTTCATTTAAAAAGTACATATGCACTAATATTTTGTAAATGAGGTAATCAAGTGTTAATAAACAAATACTTTTATAGGTTTTGGTGGTATTAATTTTTCTGTGGAAGGCAGAAGTGCAGCGGAACTGAAATGCGAAGATAAAGGGGATGGGGTAATTGTATGTTCTTACAAGCCAACTGAACCTGGATATTATGTCATTAATTTAAAATTCGCTGATCATCATGTACCAGGTAAGTTGATGACACTTAATTTCACACTTATAATGAAAACCATTTTAATTTTAATGTTATGCTTACTTATAAGCCGTAAATGAAGTATGATTTTTAGCAGATTTGTTCTGCGCAAAAAGTATGTTCGTGAATTCTGAAAGCGCGATTATCTTGCCTTTAAAACATTAATTTAAATTGCTTAGTGATTAGCTGCTTTTTCATGATGAATCTATTCTTTCAGATATATGTTGTTTATTATACATTAATGTCAAAACTATTATACATTAATGTTCGAATTTAAAAAAATAATCTAGAAGATAATATTAGTCACTGCAATCGTTAACTGTAAATTCCTTCTTTATCGCAATAATAATCTCTGCATGTAATAAAAGAAAGTGTCTGTGTGTCTTTCATTCGCGCTGCGCGTAAGCTAATAGATCCACGGCTACGAAATTTGGTACATACGTGCATCTAGACAAGAGCCAGTGCACCTCAAAGCGAGTTTTTCGAAATTTGAATTAGAATTTTTTTATCTCATATTTTTTCACGAAATCGCGTCATTTTGAGACATAATGGGCTATAGGAAAGCGAGATTTTACTCTACACACTCCATTTTCACATCGTCATGAAACGTAGGCACTTAGCTATTTTACGAACTTAAAATAAATTTCGTGTTTCAATAAATCGATTAAATACGAATTTATTTAACAAAGGGAGCTTAACACACTTTTTCAACGGGATTTTTTCTAAAAAAGTTTATTTTTAAAAATGTACAGTTTATTTTTCTTTGATTTTTGGACACGTTAAACTTTCATCCTTGCGACTGCTTTTACAAAAGAATTTTGGAAAAATGATAATATTTTGTATTTTTAAAAATTTTTTTAATTTAAATGAAGCTTCCGAGTACACTTCTCACATCTCACATCTTTAAAAATGTGATTTTGGCAACAATTTTCCTGTCTTATTGTTGTTGATAGATTTTTGATGAAATCGCATCATTTTGAATAGTTTCATTCTTTTAGAAATATGGGTTGGCAACAATTTTCATCGTATTTCTTATGTCACTGTTTTTAAGAGATTGGCATATTTCATTGTCATTTATATATATATAATACATTTTATTGATTTTTTTTGATAAAGTTGTTCTGCAGAGTAAAATTCTGCGCGGAATTTTATGTTTTTTGAGTTGCTTTCATGTTATTTTTTGCTTATTTCACTGTTTGTAAGATATTGAAAAGTTTTGCATGATTTTTTTCTTCAACGGAAAGTTGGTTAATTTTTTTATTAGGATAATTAATATTTGTATTAAGGGATATAGCTTATTTCATTGTAATTTTTTTCTCTTGAAAATATAAGATAAAATATCATTAATTATACTTTGCTTTTCAGAATTTTTTGTTTTTTGTATTCTTTTATGTTATTTATTGCTCATTTCACTGTTTTTAAGATATTGAAAAGTTTTGAGTGATTTTTTTAGGAAACAAAGTTCTTAACCTCCTTTATACCATTTGAGTTCTTAAGATTTTGCAAAGGGAAGTTGGTTAATTTATTTATTAGGATAATTAATATTTGTATTAAGGGATATTGCTTATTTCATTGTAATTTGTTATACGTAATAACTTTTTTTATGAAGTTGTTCTGCAGAGTAAAATTCTACGCAGTTTTTAAATTTAACGTTTGGTGTTCCCTTCAGCCATTTTTCAGTACATTTAAAAGCCAGACGAAGGCTGGCAGCGAAGCTGCTAGTAAGAAATAAAGGAAACAATAATTGAAATTATTTTTATCAGCAGTTAACCATCAACAATTTTGAGAATGCTGCTGATATTTCAAATTCGTGTTTCGATAGAATTCTGTTTTACTTACAGGATGTTTTTTAAGTTATAAATTTCGATTTTAATAGTGAAGTATCTAATGAACTTGCTTAAATATCATTTTAACTCCTCAAAGATTTCAAGATCATTTTCTCAAAACTCTTGCTTTTTCCGAAAATGATTTTGAAATAAAAGAGGCTTAGATGAATTATTTGTATTCGTATAACGCATACTATTTATTTTAAAACTACAACTTGGTTTTTGATCAAAACGCACACACACACACACACACACACACAAAAAAAAAAAAAAAAAAAAAAAAAATAGATTTTAAAAGAAATTTGTTCTAAGCTTATTATAATTACCTCTAACACTGAGAAAATGATGACAGATTGTTATGAAAGGGAATGCATGTACTATATAAAGGAGCATTAACCCATTAGAACTCATAACTGCTTGATTGCCCCAAATCAATCATCTTCTGATCTCTTATGAATAGTAAAATAGATAAATGAGAACATATTCGTCCCGAACAACTGTCAAAATCACTCCTTTCAGCTTTCTAACCGCGCTGCATCATAAATCCTTTTCAAAATGTACAAAAGTGTGCTTCTATTATCTCCACCATTTCCAATTTAACAGCTTTCGAACAGCTGCTAAATACTATGTATTCTCCATAGATTGCAACGTAACTTTCAATTTAAGAAATTTGCATCGTTTTGTTTTCTCAAACTGAAAATCGTATCTCCTAACAGCTTAAAGTTGCTTTTTTATAATGTTAAAATCTTTATTTTAGAATGTTCTGATGAGAGTTTGAGAATTGTAATGGTTTCTCTATTACAAGTAACCGGAAAAAAACGATATAGCTTAAAACGTATTTTCGATATATGTCATCATGCTAATATTAAATACATTGCGTCATTCGAATTGCCTGTAATATATTCAGATTCAGCTTCACGATACGTATTACATTTTTTTCTCTTTGTCTTTTTTCATGTGCTTTTCTAATTTTAATCTTCAGTTCTTTGAGCTCACAAGGTTTCTCACAAATTCTTATTTATCTTATTTAGAAACTCCATTATTTAAGATTTGCTTTACTGACATACCCCTGAAGAAAGTTTTTCCGGCTTGTAATAAGAAATTCTGGTTTCCCACTTCTAAGCGACACTAATAACATTAACTTCTCCCTCCTTTCTCCAGATTCTAACTTAATTGTTCATAATTTGAAAACCCAACTTCTAACATATATATATATATATATATATATATTTTTTTTTTTTTTTTGTTCAAGTAAACATTTATAGTTAGGGCCTTAAAATTTCTATCTCCTAGAAAATTTTACTGAGAATTTTTAACATTTTAAAAGGTAAGGTTTATCGATAAAACAAAATGAGCTTTAAAGAATCGCCTTTAGGGAGAATGAAACTAATGTTCGAGAAAAATATATTATTAAATTAGCCATTGCTCAGAATTATTGGAATTATTACCACAAATTTATAATTTTCTTGCAAAATCGATTGAAAGTCAGCATTTACAAAATTGGATTAAGACTTTCCATAGCCATAAAAAAACCTTCGCTATTTGATTCCAGATTTTAATTTCCATCCTTTTACCCGTCGGTCTTCAAATGGTTTACTCTCAGATTAATTTATTTTTCACTCAGTAGACGGAGTTAGTTAATAAAATCATTTTCATTCTTTAAAGAGTATTTTCGCAGTTTGCGTTTATAATTTTTCTGCCAATTATTGAGTGTGTATGATTTAAACACGCAAAATTGATCCTACTCTATGCTATATGAACATTTTAAAACGGCCTGTGTCATTGATTGTTTTACAGTTGCAGCGTGAATCATTTGCTTTTGTTTTAAGCTATGTTTAAAAATTTCTCAATCTTATGTAAAAAAGCACAAATTCGTGAAATATTCTATCTCTAACATCGTTGGTCCTTTAGCTACATATAATTTATTTAGTTATTTTTATTTCATCTATTTAAATGTCAAAATTGTGCAGAATAGTCTAAACTGATCTGTGCCACTTTTCCAGAAAAATTAAATGTTTTACCAAATTAACGTGAATACTAAAATTAAAATTTGCCTAGAATGGTACCTCTTGTGGAACTGAGCGATACTGGCCAATGTTTTCAAAACATTGTTAAATTTCGTTTTCTAAATACTTGTCTCTGCGGCAAAAATTTGTATATTTATTATAGTAGTATTTCTTAAATGATCTACAAATAAATTGATTTCTAACTTTTCACATAGGCAGTCCATTCACTGTTAAAGTTACTGGTCCTGGGTCCAATATCATCAGAGAAACAATTAAAAAGAAAATAGAGCAAGTACCACCAGCCGATATAGGTCAAGAATGCAAACTTGTTTTCCGATTGCCAGGTAATAAGTTTTTTTAATTTTCTCTATTCTTTAATTATGTATATGGCATGAATACTAAACGCTGTATGTTATGAATGTATGTATTTTGTATATGGTAACAACGTATGTGTATGGTTAAAGGGAAGATTAATTTCATTTCATGAGCACAACAGGTTGGCAAAATTAAAAGGTCTCTAGGTAAATCTTACACGGCTAATTATGATTACAAATTCTACGAAATGAAGAGTATATATTAATGTGAAATAAATGAGTTTGAAAATGTTCCTGTCCTTCTTTTAATGCAGAACGTAATAATAAGTTTAACACACGTGATTGGGATCGAAATGTGCATTAACATTCACGAGTATAGTTACTAAGTAAGTTTATGAGTTAGTAAGTATTATGAAATACTAGTAATCTCACAATTCTCTAACGAATCGAATAATGCTTTAAATTAAAATGGCCATCCAATGTGCCTGTGCTCTGTCCAACGTTCAGCTTTTGTTTACAATAAATGCTTCATCTCTAATATTTGTTGATGTATTAAATTTCATGTTGACTCATCCAACTCTCGAAAAGAACTTAACATTTTTAGCTGCTCAGTGTTGATGTTAACTCGTAGAGGGTTCAGAGAAGTAAACTTTTTTGACTGCTCTCAATGATCTCTACTAAACTGTTTTTGATTAATTTCATTTTCATAAACATTATTTATAAATAAATGTCCACACTGATCAGCTGAGTGCGTCTGCAGTGGTTTAAAATCGAAATGTCAATTTATTTTTATTTTCTTATCCACATATGCCTATTTTTAAACATAATCTTTCTTCGTTTTAATAATTTTGTAATATTAGCTGGTGCCTAGGTTGTAGTCATTTTTAGTAGCTCAGAATAAGAACAAGAATAGTGGATATATTATTTTAAATTTTTCAAAAGATTTTTGTTTTGTTTTTCAAGTGTTTCTTTTTATTAAATAAAGAAAGTACGTTATTACTGTTTCTGAAATACCCCCAGCTGCAGCTACACGTCCATGCCTGCATATTTTTTTCTATTCGCCCTTCTTTCTGAATTATATTGACGAGGTTGCCGATGTCACTGTTAATGCTAAAATTAATAACTAAACTAACAATAAGTAATAACTAAAGTAAACAATAAATAAAACTCGTCACCTGGAAGTCAAGGATGCCTTATCTTCTAATCACCTGCCTGTTCTATTTACTTTCCACGACGTGTATTCGCCCAGTGCAACGCAGAAGAATTAACAAGGATGAAGTTCGAAGATCTTTTCTCTCATATTAATGCAACTACTACCCTTCATAATTTCGCAAATAATTAATATGCAATTACCTTACGCAATCATAAAATTCAAAACGCAGTTATTCAATCACTGATCTGTCGACATCTTATACCTCACTGCTTAATCATATTTTGAAAGCAATTAAAGAAACAAATAGCTTTCTCAAGCGCTGGAATGCTTCAAGAGAATCAGCTACTAAACACTGACTTAATGTTAAGTGACACGAAATTTCCTTTTCAATTACGGAATATCTTTCTGATCGCTGGAATAAATTATTAAACGTTATGGAATTATACTGTTTGGAAAGTATCCAGTTTTTCTCACTCTGATAAAATTAATTTCACCGGACCGATACTATATAATATTTGCTTGCCCAGTCAGAATCCCGAGGTTGCTAAAATTTTTGCGGAAGTACTTGGAAGTTTGTTTATTCTTAACATGAGTGTCAATAAAGAGGAACAATTTTGAGATTTTGTTCTCCACTCAAGCACTTCTTGCCAGAAATATCAACCAATATATTCTCCCAACTTCTTCAGTGGAAATATCTAACTTATCAAAAAATTGCATATTCGCCAGGCTACGATTTAATTTCCAGAAGAGCCCTAAAGGAATTCCTCTAAAACCTGCGTTCTATTGCTTACAAATACCTTTAACTCTTGTTTCCGCCTGCTTTATTTTCAACAGCAAGGGAAACATGCTATTATTCTATTTCTTAACCATCGTAAAGACCCAAAATGGCCTTTCCACAATCTATCCAAAAGCCTTTTGCCTTGTATTAACAAAGTATTTGAAAGAGTTACACAAAAAGGAACCACAAAAGATCTAGTAAAATATGACATTAGGGCACAGTGCTTGCCATCAAATTTTGAATCTCACTGAATTTATCGCAGCATCATTTTTCAAAAATGAGTCAGTTGCGGTATGCTTTCTTGGCTTTGAGAAGGTATTTGACCACGTTTGTCTCATTTACAAGCTTGCAAAATTTAATTTACCAACATATTTAATAAAGGTGATTCATAATTATTTAAAAGGTCGTATTGGCGATGCCCATTCCACTAAAAAATGTCATTGGGTTGGGTCAAATGGGTTAATAAATCATGTGAAAAACATGTGATGATTTAAGAAAAGAAAGCGTGAGTAAATTATTGAAACAGATGATTCTCTGAATCTCAAAGTAATTTCTAAATTTGGCAAAATGTTGGTATATGTAAGATAAATATATGCAGTTTATATATATACAATGTTATATGTAAGATGAATGAATATATACAATTTATATATATACAATATATACAATATTTAAACTATAAAATGCAACGCAATTGTTCATGTATCTGCTTTTAGGAACCAATGCTTTTGACATGGCTGCCAAGGTGACTAATCCCACTGGAGTGACGGATGATGCCATGATCATTGATATGGAAGATTGCCAGTATGGAGTCTTCTTTACCCCTAAAGAACCAGGAATACATACCATCAGCGTACGATGTAAAGATATTCACATCCCAGGTTCTCCTTTCCAATTTACTGTAGGAGGTATTCAGAGTTTTGGTGCCCACAAAATACATGCTGGAGGCCTTGGTTTGGAAAGAGGGGGCGCCAATGAGCCATGTAAGTATTTCGTTAAGCTCATCAAATGATTTCTTAGCTTGTGAAGAATTTATACTTCATTCTGTTAACATTTTTATTTGTGTAGTAATAATAAAAATAAAATGCAATATAATATTAAAATATTATGTAATAATGTAACAGTATAACACAATATAATGTAATAATAATACAATATAAAATTTATGTAATAATAATAAGCACTTGGGTGAATTGTATACAATAGAGTTAAAATTATATTAAAGAATAAGTGAACAGACTACAAACGTTTATAAGTTTGTAGAGACATTAGGTATTTTTTGAAAATAACAGGCAAGATGAAAAATGAGCAATCGCCTTCGCCAGGAATCGAACCACCGACCTCTGGAATACTGGCTCAGCGTGCAGAACCACTTACACCACGAAGGCACGCTAGGAAAGCGGGAGAAATACCTTATAAGTTATTTATTTGAAAAATGGAGGAACTGGATTTTCACAGTTTACTCTAATAATCAGGAGCACCATGATTAAGCCAATAGAAGTCTTTTAAACAGAAGTGTTGTCGATTATTAAACAAACAGCTAATGTAAATTAGATATTTTGTCATATAGTATTTATAACCTGTTTTAAAGTTTAAAACAATATATAATTCCTATCGAATTCTTCTTCAGTTTTCAACATTCGTTTAGAAATTACACTTTGTTTTCAGGCAAGACAGCAGGATTTGATCTAGAAATTCAGAATTTTACTGTGATAAAATTTTTAGGGTATCTTGATGAGATGAAGGATCTTATAATCTAACCAGTAGAACTCAAGAATTTGTTGGAAATACTTTGACGTTTTTGATTTTTTCCAACTAAGCAGATCATATAACTATAATATAAATTTTAACCACGTTTAGTTTATAAGTAACTTTTCTTAACTGATATTCATCACAGAAACAGGTCACATGTCACTCAGAAGTGAAGAACACACATGTTAGTTTATAGTTAACCGACGGAAAGTAAATAAAGACTTCGTTTCTCATTCAGAATTAAAAAAATCATCTTATAGCATCATTGAATTAAAGCTCTTGAGACCATTTCTTTTTTATCCGCAGGTTAATTTATACTATTTTTAAAATACTAATCTTAGTCTGTTGCTATCAAAATTTAACCAACTGAATTCTATATGCTGAACGAGTATGGATTCTTTTAATGGACGATTTTTAATCATCTGAAGATTACAAAAAGTTTATGAATATATACACATTATCTTTTTGCACTTATCTGGGTATGTATACCTAAATAATAATAAGATATAATCGAAATAAAGTCTTGTATACCTTTGAAATTTCATTAAACGGAAGCTTAAGTTTCCATTCAGGTGATGCACATGATGATTAAAATTAAATTTAACATTTTAAAATTGTCTAAAATGAGAACCGTTCATTAAAAAATTGGAATTTAATCCGAATACTCTTAAAAAATAGAATTTTTTTGTCGAATGAATAAAAGGTATATTTAAGAAATTTTCCTTTAGAGAGATAATTGCTGCTTTATTACAGTAAAAAGCAACATAAATGTAACAAGCAATTATAAGTGAAATAAAAATTTTGAATATGCTCTCCTTAAATATTATGTAATATTCTTCAGATATCCCTGATGCCAAATTTTATATAAATGAGTGTACTGATTAAGATATAGTGAAAAAGCAACTAATTGTTATTCCATTGTCAAAATGACTGCAAAGAAGTTATTTTGGTTATTACGTTTTTATAATATGCGGTGGAGCATCATCTTGTATGAAAGTAGTGGAAGAAATCTAATATTGCTTTAGTGTTGGTATAATGCAGTTTTTCAAAAGAGAGCGTGACAGAAGTGACAGTATTATCAGGACCAGCTTCTTCAAAATCAAAAGAGCCAACAATGAATATTGCTCTAAATCTGCACTACAGAGTGTTTTTTGAAGAATGAAAAGTCAACTGACGTAAGCATCTTACTTGCATTTCTTTGCCCAGATTCTGTGAATTTTCTCGGTTAGCTTAGGTTATTCGAATATGGCAAAGCACACAAAGTACTCCTGAAAACGAAATTAAATTGTAAACACCTCTTACGCACTCTTTTCTGAAGACAACAACCTTTTACACATGAGTAATTTTGTAAGGGTAAGATTTCAAGATGTTTTAAAACATTTTGCCCCATACTTAACGTGGGCTAGTAACCAGTCAATGCTACATACAGTGGTAAATCTATGAATATAATTATCTTTCTGTAATATTAAATCTATTTTTCTATTACCTGATTATCGAATAGGAGGTTGCATCCGAAGATCTAGTCTTTTTAAATTTTAAAATCATTTTTACACTAGTCATTTATAGATACTGGAACAGGTTCTGTAATTTTCTAAACTTCCTAAGAGCTTTTAAATATGAAATCTCAGTCTATACTGATGAAACAATTGTTCAAGAAGAAAGCAATCTTTTAATAACAGTGTCACTGGGGTAGACCAATCCACATATTTTCCAAGTAATGAGCTGCATATTCCGGGCTTCTTTTTTATCATAAATGTTTGTGATGTGTCCATGATGAGTAACTTTTATTTCTAAATATAGACATTATGGACGCAGTTCTTTCCAAAGGAAATTACTTAACAATTCTCTTCTTGCACCAAAACACATTCCATTGCTTCATAAATATTCCTGAGAAATTTCCAACCATTCTGACCAGTGGTTCTTGTTTGAGATCATTCTGAAGTATGAATTTTAATTATAATCTCCCTGCATTTTAATATTACTAATTTTATTTTGAAAAATGCGACGGCTGGTGTTTTTCCCCTCTTAGCTTAGAAAACAAATGCCAGTTCAGCTAATTCTTCAATTATTGTTGTATGATAATGCATCTCTATTACAGGTGAATTTAATTTATACACGAGAGAAGCAGGTGCTGGAGTTTTACATATATCAGTCGAAGGGCCATCTCGTGCAGAAATCAACATACAAGAAATAAGTGCAGGAACTTTCTGTGTGACATATAAGGTTTCAGAGCCTGGTAAGCAATAATTAATTGACCTTTAACGTAGCATTCACTTTGAAATTCATTTGTAAAATGAAGCTTGAGACAATTTTGTCTTTGATGGCGATAAAGTAAGCCACTAGATTATTTTGCTTAGCAAAAGAAAAATTATCCATATAAAAATGGTTTCCTACTGAGTTTTGCAAATATCTCTTGTTTTAATTTAAGACATTAGAATGAAGCTATTATTTTAGTTATTAATTGTACTATTTTTCTAATGTACGGCTTATAAATATTTATATTTTAAAATAAAAAATCATTTTAATAATAATAATATAAGTTAAGAAAACTATATATTATATAAATAAAATATTTAAGTATTAAAGACATATAAACATAATAAGTATGGTTGCAGTTAAAATTTATAATAAATATCGCTAGGTAAATGTATTCCCTGCAATCATCACAGTTATATGATTGTCATCACTTATTTCTTAGAAATGTTTTATATGAGTTTTACCTAGTTGAATGATTTACACGCTATAGTTTTTTTAACTCTATAGATAAATCACAAATTTTTTTATTAACTTAGGTTTCTGATATCAAAGTATAAGAATTAACACTTTGACTGTCGGAGAACTAAGGCTAAACTCTCGAAAATCCAAAAAAGAAATTTAATATTTTCTAACATTATAACAATGATTTTCTTGTGCCTTTTATCAAAAAATTTTCAGAACTTACGTATTTTCCCGTCGACTGGGAATGTTGTTCTTATGGACTGCAAAATATTGGGGACACTCCCCAAACCATGCTCCAAAATTCGGCGGAAATTTAGAGAAACAGCATGTTCTCCATACAATTAAGTAGTATATAGGCAAAAATTACGGATATAATATATATAAAATTTAAATAAACAAAAGTTCAATATCTGAGATTATATAATAAACAAACTCATTTAAACTAGCGCCAGTCATTCCGGAAGCTAAACCTCAATAGCGTTTAAAATAGCATAAAATAATCAGCTTCTGTGTGAGTTCAGTGCCATTTAAATTCGCTTAAATACGCATCTAAATTGTGTAGCGGTGTTTTGTTACTGCACCGTTTTGTGGAGCCCGAAAGTCGTTCAGTATCTGAGCATGTGCATGATTATCAGAATCACCAAAATTACAATGGTGGTTAACTTTAAAAATGTTCAAATCCTGAACTCGTAATATGTTCCAAGAAACCGAAACCGTTTAGATGAAAAACGACTCTTTTCCGGCTTTCTTGTCCAGAATTAATCACAGTTACAAAATCCAAAACGCCCACCAGCGGCCGAGCGGTAAAATCGCTGAACACTGGTAGTTCGGTCCGAGGTTGGAATCCCGCGAACGGGCTGGCTGCATGGGCGTTTTCGTGGTTTTCCCCATGTGTAACGTGTATACGCGCCAGTTTCCCTTAGAAAGACCTCCCCGAAGTCATCCCTCCTCTTAGGCAGATAGCCCTAGTGTGCTTTGCCGTATTCTCAATACACCATACACCAAAACTCAAAGCGCAGTTCTTATGAGTGCGTTTCGAAGTCAGTTTTTATCAATTAGTATCTCTAAATCGCACTGTTTTGGCGAAAATTTCTGTGTATCCAAATAGGTAACGGGAAAATGTGTAAGTACACAATTTTCCTGATTGTGAGCACATTCTTATAGTTAGTGCAATCCTGCAAGATTTTAAATTAGCGTCTTTTATTATTTTTAATATTTTCATTATTTCGTAACATGTTCTGAAATGCATATCTTAAATTATGGCTTTTAAATAGGAGACTACAGAGTAGGTATCAAATTCAACGATGAGCCCATCCCAGACAGTCCATTTAAAGTATTCATCCTACCCGATGTAGGCGAAGCTAGGAAAATTGAATTGGGGCACATCCCAGATGCCGGACTGCAAGTAAACAAACCAATAGCATTCACAATTCAAATGAATGGAGCCAAAGGTTTGATCGATGGCAAAGTAATTTCACCCTCTGGAGGAGAAGACGACTGCTTCGTGTCACCAATTGATGAAGGTTCGTAAAGAAACAATTTTTCTGTCCAAAAACCAAATCTTCCTCCTCAGTTTAATTTAACAAATTTAACTTTCACTGTTTTAAATATGAAGAAAAGGTCATTTAAAATGTAAAGATTTTAATTTTTAAAAAAATGCATTTTGTATATCATTAAACTACTTCAAATTTACTGTGCTGACTTAATAATATTGAAGATTTTGATTTCATTTTATATTTATGTTTAACCAGTCTTTTAGATGTAGATCCGCAAACTTTATTTCTGGCTTAGTTATTTTCAATGCAAGAAACAAAATTTTGAAAAGAACTGGACAAGCAGTTTTCGAAACACACTGCCTGACAGAACAAATGTTACAGCATAAAGGAGTGATTAGAAAAAATAAAATTTTCTTCATAAATATAGAATCGAGATCTTAACAAATGGTTTTTAGTTTTCAAACATGTGTAACGGTAAGACATTTAAATATACAGGGGCATTATTGCTTCGATACTTTTGTGTTGTTCTGGTACTCTGCGAATATATTATTCGCTTTTTCCAGATACTTAGATTAGTCCTATTAAGGGCCTGACAGCATGAAAGTCCTAAAATTGATTTCTCCGCTGAGAAGAAAACTTAGTTGGAGACAAGAAACGAAGCAGTTTATCCCTACAATAAACGCTGGGCAGTCTAAGGTGAGTGAAAACTTATGAAGGAGGAGATTTTCGTCCTGCGGCAGGAATGATGTTCATTATGAGATATCTCATGGTGAATCAGCCATTGCAAATTAGCAAATTTCAATTAAATTGAAAAAAATACAATTAACATATTTAAAAATGGAAAAATAAGCTGAAATATATAAATGCTAAGAGCACTTGACAAACAAAGTAAGTTGTAAAATAAATGAAATAAAGAACTCAATTAAAGTTAAGTATGATTAGAATGATGCAACTCACAAATTCAAAATCCAATATACCAAGTGCTGCTGAATCACTAATTAAGATAGAAAAGTTCAAATTCCTTGCTATGAGTAGAATTTTGTGAGTCTGTATCTTCGGCCTTTTGATCTGGCATATACTCCAATGGAGTGAGGAAACGGAGCCTTCGGTTGGAATCTATTTTCAGATTGGCTTTCAAACTGATATTACAGATGTTATTTTTTCTAGGACTCTTCGCGAGAAAACATATCGTTTTCCCTAGAATCTAAGAGGAAAAGCATTATTCCCATTAAGAGCGTAGCTTTCCTCATTTCTTTGAATCTGAAATATTTGTAAAACATCTACTTGGCGAACGCCATACTCGTTATCAAGTAAAGATAAATATATTCAAACCGGCTAGAAAAATTTCGACCAAGTTGGTGAGAAGGAAATTGTAAAGCACGTAACGCCGTTTTGTGGTACTCTAAATACTAAAATACGAGTACTTTATACCTAAATACGAGTACTTTATACGCGAGACATAAAATTAGAACCCTGAAAATGAAGAAAACGAGAAATGGCAATGCTGTGGCGCGAGAGAAAAAAAAAAACACCTTCACACTCAGAGTCTCAGCAGCCAGGGCATTAGTAAGATGGTAAGATTTTAGGTAATAACACTTTCCGGGACACTACCTTTTACATTTGGAATTTCGACAAAAAAAAAAAAAAAAAAAAGGCAAGCAGTCTAATCAGGCCTGAAAGAGTACACAAGTAAAATTTTGTGAAGATAGCACTTATCGTTTTAATTCTGTGGCTGTGCCCGAACACTGAATGAGAAGAACTTCGAAAAGAGTGCTGAAACAAGCATTGCTGGGAAGCGCTTAAAAGAGTAAGAGATTATGCCTACGATTAAAAAACACTAGATTCTGAATACCGTAGCAGATTTAGCATTACCGAGGGTGTGCCACGGAGAGGTCCACTACTCTACACCCCCTATAAAACCTCTTCTTGGTTATAATTGGTATAAATGAAAAAAAAAAGTAACTTAGGTATATGATAGTTACGTTATTTACATTTCGGTATAAATGAAAAATCGGTATAAATGAAAAAAAAAGTAACTTAGGTATATGATAGTTACGTTATTTACATTTCATATTTACACTTTCGTCTATTTTTTCGTGGTGGTACTTTTCGAAGAAAGTGATACCACCTTTGAAAAAGCACAACCCAGCATTGCATGTTTTGCATATGTACCGGGATCCGTATCAGATTCACTATCTGAAGGCAATTCGCGTAGCACTTTCAGTGCTTCAGAAATTGTTAGCCCTCTCCGATCCATTTGGAAAATAATTAAAAATTCAAAGAACATAATCTAATATTATATCTACTATTAGAAATTATAAATTATAAAATAAAATTAAATAAACGTCTACAACTCAAAACTTATTAAACGTAGTGCTAACAAAACTCTGTAACCATAATTTTCGATTTGGGGTCAAGTTACAATTCTGATCATTGCCAGCAGCATTTGTACAAAACTAGTGACTGCGTTAAAATGCATCTCTATAGCATTAGCAATTAAAGTTACTATTCTTTTTCCTTTCTGTATTTCAGATTCTTGGGCGTTGCGTTTTATTCCAAAAGAAAACGGTATTCATCAAATACATCTGAGGCATAACGGAACTCATATTCCACAGAGCCCCTTCAGGATAGTCATTGGACATGATGATTCTGACCCCGCCGCTGTACAAGCTTCAGGAAATGGTCTCAAAGAATGCAAATCAGGTTATTTTTTTATCTATGTTTATAATTAAATAATAAATGAAAAGTGTTCTAAAATTTAACAGGAAAATGTAAATTTTTCTAACATATTTCATAAGACGAACAGTATTCCTGTTGGTAAAACTAACTGCTTCTATCATATTTTATAAAATATACTGATATTCAAAATTAACAAATTGCTACATCATAACTTGCATATAAGGAACTTCTAAAAATTGCAGCCGAATGTTGAAAACCAATGTATTGTGAGCACACTAAATGTTACACAGAACAATGATGTAAGTAGAAATTGAACTATCGTGGCTTTTCCTATAAATTTCAAATTTTAGGAAGTCAGGAGTGGAGAATGAATGAATAATGCTTACCAAAATAACCAAATCGACAGTCACGTCATTGTGAAACTTTTCCGCTCTGATAAAAAATATGGCACAGTTCTCTCAAGGTCATTTCACGTTTAACCCTTAATCTCTAAAAACATTCCTCTCTTTTTCTAAGCAAGGATCATCAAGTCCTACTTTCTTTTTAAATTAGAGTTTTTAGCACAGTGAATATTTACGTTGTATATTTAACACAGTTGAAATTTGGAAAACCTGTTGATTAGTGTTAGCAATTAATTATTTCCTTTATTAAAAACACATTCCGTCAAACATTAATTGTTAAATACTTGCTTTATTCAGAAACATTACCGTCAACATTACTGCTCAAAAAAACTTACAGTTCAAAATAATATCGTTCTGAAAGAAACTGTTGTTGCCAATCGGGAAAATACATTTTAAATAAAATTAATACGTTGCGTTTACATTCGGGCATCCTGACTTAGTTACGACCTCGGAACTTTAAGAACTTATATTTAAAAAATTAAATCTCTAATATTAATGTTTATAGTTCGAAAGTCTTTAGCTGTCATATAGATTCACCGTCGTTTTCTATTCTTTTTCCGTGTCCTAGTTTTAGTAATATGCGGCGTGTTGTTATCGTTATCCCCAGTAACACTAATGTCATCACCATCATCATCGTCTTCTTCTGATTCAGCTTGACACTGCCATGACTTTAATTGGCTCACATGAGCTGTCGTACTAAAGAAATGTCCTTTCACCTTCTCTTCTAATTGAGTCACTCTATAGGTATCACTTGGTAAAACTTCTGTAACTACCAAAGGTCCTCGATACTTTTGTTGTGTTTTGGTTGATTCTCCAGTTGATTTAGGTACTCTTCTCATAACTACTATTTCTCCTCGTTCGAATGTTAAAGAATTGCTTTTTTTCTTGTCATAATTTGCTTTCATTTTCATCTGCATATCTTCAATTCTCTTTCTAGCTTCATTCTGTAAGATTACTGGATTCTCCCATTCATCTGCGTCTTCATCTGTAATCATCCTCATCAATCCGTCGTTAAATTTTGGTGAATAACCGTGAAGCATTTCGAAAGGAGTTTTATTTGTAGTCTTATTTATCATATTGTTTAGATTTCTTTCGCATTCCTTAATCTTTTTGTCCCAGTCTCTCTGATTCGGATTTTCCATACTCGTTTTAATCGTAGCCAAAATTGTTCGATTTGCTCTTTCCACCATTCCATTACCACTTGGATGCTTGAGTTGAATTGAGTGTATGACTGATTCCATTATTTTGACAGTACTCTCGAAATTCCTTCGCTGTGAAACATGTTCCTCTATCGCTGATAATTTTTTCTGGTAACCCAAAATCATCTACAAAACTCTTCAATGCAACTAACACATACTTGGTTGCAGTACTTTTCATAGGATATAAGCGTGTAAATCTCGTAAAATTATCAATTATTACAAATAATTCTGTATTTCCTCTTGAACTTTTTACGAATGGTCCTAAATGATCTATATGTATAATTGCAAAAGGTCTTCTACCAGGTCTAATTGGATGCAGTACTCCTTGTTTCTTACCACTAGGCATTTTATTTACTAGGCATTCGAAACACATCGAAATGTGACGCATAACATATCGTTTCATTCCTTTAAACCAGTATGATTCCTTGATTTTGGCAACAGTTCTGTCTGCTGAAAAATGTCCCAAAAGATCGTGAAATTTTACTACAATACCTTTTCTCATCGATTTAGGTATGACATATAACAATTTCTCCTTTTCCTGATCTTTCACTTTACGAAACAATCGATTATTCTTCAAGACGTAATTTTCAGTTACATATTTCTCTGCATTCGTTCTATCATTTATCTTTTTCTTTAAAATGTCTATTAATTTGCGTAATTCTGGATCTGAATGCTGAATCATAAGAATTTGTTCATCTATCGTTAGCGTTAAACAAACTTCCAAGTTGTTTTCAATTATAGAGTCTAAAGTTTCTTCTGGCTGATCAACTGGCGATCGGCTCAATGCATCTATGTGACTCATTCTTTTGCCTTGCCTGTGCTTTATTTCAAGATTGTATTCCTGGATCAGATTACTCCACCTTGCTATCTGAGGATTTGAAGTTTTCTTCGCGTTTAAATAAACTAAAGCTTGGCAGTCTGTAATTACCGTAAATCGGATTCCAATTAAAAATTGTCGAAGTCGTGTCAAAGTCCAAACTATAGCCATTAATTCTAATTTGCTTGAATGATAATTCTTTTCTGTTTCTGTTGTTCCTTTACTTACACAATAAACTAAATGCCACTTTCTATCTTCACCTTTTTGCAACAGCATTCCTGCCAGTCCCTTTGTTGCTCGCGTCTGTGTGCACTTCAGTCTCTGCTTCGGGATTATATAATGCTAGTATTGGTTCATTAGTTAAATGATCCTTTAAAGTACTGAATGCTTCTTGCTGATCTTCGTTCCAACGAAATGTTTCATCCTTCCTCGTCAGTCTCGTTAGCGGCTCAGCTTTCTCTGCGTATTTCGGTACAAACCTTCTAAAGAAACTTGTAAGACCTAAAAATTGTTTAACTTCATGTTCATTGGTTGGTTTAGGAAAGTTTAATATGGCTCGTACTTTTCTTGGTCCAGGTTGCATACCATTTGATTTTATTAGAAATCCCAAATACTCAACTTCATCTTTTCCAAATTCGCATTTTGTCAGTTTCAATGTCAGCATTGCTTCTCTCAATCTATCAAACACTTTCCTAAGTTTTTCCATCATTTCTTCCCAAGATTTAGCCGGAATTAATATGTCGTCCAAATAGCACAATACTTCTTTATTAAGCAATGGACCTAAAACTTGATTCATAAGTCTCTGAAATTCTGCAGGTGCATTAGCTAACCCAAAGATCATACGTTCAAATTGACCAGTATCATCTGGAGTGATGAAAGCTGTTTTCAGTTTCGCTTCTTCAGTTAAAGGAATCTGCAAATATCCATGAGCTAAGTCCAATGTAGTGAAAACTTTACACTCACTAAGACATTCAAGAAGATCATCTATCCTAGGGAGTGGAAATTTATCTTTAACAGTTTGCGAATTCAACTTTCTATAATCTATCACTAATCGTAATTCACCTGTTTTTTTTTTCTTTACGAGTAAAACTGGACTAGCATACGGAGATCTTGTTTCAGTAACAATTCCATATTTCTTCCATTCATTTATTATCTTCTTTATAGAAGCACGCTCTTCGGCATTGGTTTTATACGACTTCATGCAAATAGGCTTACTCCCTTCAATTTCTTTAATATCCATTTTTGTTAAGTTTGTACACCCTAATTCCTCCATATTTAATGCAAAACAATCTCGATACTCATTTATCAAATGTAAAACTTCCTGTTTTCTCTCTGGCGTAATATTGTTTATTAACTTTAATTTCTTCTAAAGTAATCGGTCTCCTAAACTTCTTAATTTCATTTATTATCAGTATTTCCTTTTGACTTGAATTTTCAGTTTTCTGATCTGAACTTGGTTCAACTAATTCTGCTACTTCCGCTCTACCGATACATTGATTCTCTTTCAAAATTAGTTTTCGATCGCTGTAGTTAGTGACTGGTATCACTGTTTCTCCCTGTATTACTTCCAATAATGAGCCCAACTCATCTTCCGATCCACTTATTAAAACATAACCGTTATTTATTTCATCAGTTTTAACTTTCACGAAATTAACCGTATTACTTTCGATTTGAGTTTCTTGGGAAGCCTTCAGTTTAATTCGCGGAGTGTTGCTATCATTTTGCAACTGTGAAAATGGGCAGTCATTAGCATAGCGTATGTGCAAGGTATTTCCTATCTTGGCGTATGCAATATGCGGTAAATCAATCCATGTTCGACCAACTAATAAGTCGCATGGTTGCGTTTCATCTCCTACAATTAGAACTGTAATGTCCTTTCCTTCCACATTATCAATCTCTAAGTTAACAGTTACTTTTCCCAATGTTCTAGCGGCTGGTTTATTCTGGTTCCCAAAGCCAAACAATTCCTCCACATCAGGTTTTACAATAAGATTCAGTCTCTTAGCCGCAGACTGTTTCAATAAACACGAACTAGAACCCGTATCTATGATTGCAGTAATTTCTTCTCCATTATTGATGCGAGCATACTTTAAATATACAGCTGGTGAAACACCTGAATTCTGGTCCACGGATAAATTATTTTTAACATTTGTCAAGTCTGGATTCTTAGACGTACACTTTTTAAAAGTATGACCCTTTTCATTACATTTCCTGCAAATAATTTCTTTTTTAGGCTGAGGACAATCCGTCGCTATATGTCCATAATCATTACAATTGAAGCATTTCGGCTCACCCTTTTCATTGCGGATGCCAGAATTATATTCCCTTTTCCTTTCGTCTGTTTTATAAAATTTATCTCTCAGATTGTATTTATTATCAAAACTGTTTTTAAAAACCCACTTTGAAATTACCATCTGTCTGCATGGAATCGTTAACATTTCTTTGTCTTGAATACTGATTATAGGATCCTTCATAAAATTTAGAACCAGATTTGGGCTTAGAATTATGCCTAAAAGTTTTATTTTCTACTTGAAGTACTTTTATCCCTGCCCGAATATTTTCATATTCATCTAGTTTTTCAGCCAACTCTTCAGGATTAATGAATTTAGACCAATCATCAATGAAATGGTCTCGGATAGCAGCGGGGACCCTCTTCTTTAATTGATCAGTAATAATAAGTTGTTTTAAAGAGTCAAAATCTGTTACATTTAATCCAGCAAGCCACTCTTCAAAATAATTTTTTAATTCAAACGTGAAGTCCTTCCACGTATTACGCAAAGTTTTAATATGATCAACGAACTTTTGCCGAAACTGTTCAGGGCTTAACTTAAATTTTCTCAGTAGCAGTTGCTTAACGTGCTTATAGTCGTTAGCTTTCTCTTCTGATTCACGGGCAATTAATTGAGTTATTTCATAAGGCAATAGACCCAACAGCTGAGAAACCCAGTTTTGTTCTTCTAACCCAATACGTCGTGCCTGTCTCTCAAATAAAACTAGATAAAAACTTATATCACCTTCATTCAAATCATACTTATGCATTAATTTACTCATATCACAAATATTACTTCTACTAACATTAGAAGGAACAGAATCATTTACATTACTACTTCTGATTTCCGCTTCTATTTTCAATTTTTCAAGTTCAAATGTTCTTTGCTTATCTTTTTCTTCCATTTCAAATGCTCTTTGCTTATCTTTTTCTATAATTTCCATTTCAAATGCTCTTTGCTTTTCTTTTTCTAAAATTTCTAACTTTTCCCTGTCTAAACGATCATTTATAATTCTATCTAGCATTTGTTTAGTAAAGTCTTCGTTATAATTCTTACTATTCAAAATCATATCTCTTAAGCCTACAATTTTAATATCAGAAGGGACATCTACATCAAGTTCCAAAGCAAGTTCTTTTAAATCACATTTTTTGCCTCTTGCCAAATAAGCCATCTTAGACTTCAATTTTCAAATACTAATACAATAATTATACTTAAGTTCTTTCCGTTTAATACTTAGACATAACATAAACAGTTTATAAATTCACGTACCTTTCTACTTTCAGTTTTGGCGAGCTTCCGCATTCAGTTTAGGCTTAGCGTACGTTAAGGCAATACGTTGTTAAATCTAGATAATAATTCTAGTTTATCCCACTTCTGAAATGTTAGCAATTAATTAGTTCATTTATTAAAAACACATTCCGTCAAACATTAATTGTTAAATACTTGCTTTATTCAGAAACATTACCGTCAACATTACTGCTCAAAAAACTTACAGTTCAAAATATTATCGTTCTGAAAAAAACTGTTGTTGCCAATCGGGAAAATACATTTTAAATAAAATTAATACGTTGCGTTTACATTAGTTTATGCTATCAGTATCCTTGTTCTCCGGAGTGAGTGCCTTATTCTTAAACGACAGAGTATGAAAAAAATTACGTTTAATGCAGAGAAACAATTGACCATGCTGTTAAGGAATTTCATGCAAATGTAATTCGCCAGCCATATTTTCTCACATTTTTGCCAATCGTAGATATTTATTAAACTATTATTGAAAATATACTGTGGAAAAGATTCATAACAGATGGACACAACCAGAGCAATAGCTCCGCAAGCTCTATCCTTTGTCTACACATTTTCATAAAATAAATTTTATTATTTTCATTCCAGATTAGCTGTATCTAGAATGAAAAGACAGTGAATTGCCTCAGCTCATATTTATCAAGCTCACACATAGCTCATATTCGTACTTAACATTGCTGAGTTGCTCTTTTTAATTAGATGAAACAGCAACTTTAGACTAATACCAGTATCGCTTTTGCTAGTCTCGTGTCAGCCGAAATAGAATCAGATCATAGTAGTCAGATCTTCTTATTAATTATGTTGTCAAAAGAAGGATAATGCACACAATGCTGAGGGAAAATTAGGTTTATATGAATGATGAATGAAATGAAATGAAAATAAATGCAAGCTTCTTGTGTCCCCCCCCCAAAAAAAGTCGCGGTAGATTAAAAAAAAAATTCATGCATTCGTACCATCATCAAACGTAGGAAAAACAAGGCCCGAACCCGCGATACAAGTCCCCAGTAAAAGCTGCATTTTCCACTTGAGCGTGTTACCTCCGCGATAAGGTATCTTACGGATACGCATGCTTTTCACACTTCTCCTTCAGGAAACTGAAGAAGCATCTGGGCTATTCTGAAACTAGCGATAATATTTTCTGTAAATATTCTTTTAAAAATACCAACTCCATTACAACACCACTCCTGGTGACGCTTGAATCCAAAATCTATAACTCAAGAAGCCAACGTTTTATCCAGTAGGCAATAAGAGCAACCTTAAATTGATGTAGATATATTTTAAGAAAAATTCAAAATCTGGGATTTCGAAATCCATCATTATTATCTCGCAGCTATCTATTGCTTTAGATTATGCTGTAAAAATTATCAACCATATTTTTCATTTCTGGTTGATTATTAAGGTTTATTACTGCTAATAAAGTTGAGAATTTTCTTTTAAATAATTTATGAAGCTATTTAATCTATTAGCATATGCATTTTTCATTATTATATGAAATTTTTATTAAGATTTGACCCATTTGACCCTTTTTTTTTTATCAAGAAGAATTTTTGTAAGGGCAATCATTTAAAAACCATGGTATAAACTGGACTTTTGAAACGAGATGCCTGAAACTGACGCGTCAAGCGTCAAAAAGTTAAAGTTAAGTCAACTCACGCGGTCTCCGGCCATCCGGTAAATGCCGCCTCTGAACTCACTCCTGATAGGTTAACGTTTTACGCGCGAACGCGTGACTGCGTTGGTGTGAACGCAGCTTTACGTATGAAGCTACGATGTAATTCGGCCTGTTTGGGACTGTTTAAGGATTGTCCCAGAGTTACTGTAGTTTAGCAAAAAGTTCTTTTCGTCGAATCGAATTCCATAACCCAACTATTGTCGCCTTCGTTCGAAAACTGAATAAGGAATGACTTTAAGAAATAGTTTTGAAATAAAGTCAGTTATCACTCTTCGAATTAGAAGTTGAATAAATAGACATATATTTCCTTCTATTTAAATATTTGCAATTCATTTCTGATTTTTAATTTTGTATTTTAGGAGTTAAAACAGACTTCTTAATAAACACCTGCAATGCTGGTACAGGTCAGCTAGCAGTGACTATTGAAGGACCATCCAAGGTATCCATGGACTGTACTGAAGTAGCTGATGGGTATAAAGTACGGTATACCCCTCTGGCACCCGGAGATTATTTTGTAACCATCAAGTACAATGGTTATCATATTGTAGGAAGTCCATTTAAAGTGCATTGTACAGGTACGTTGTGAAGTCAGGCACTTTGAGATAATTATCTAAATCGACTATATCCTAGTCTGCTAGATAACTATGTTTTTTTTTTTTTTTTTTTTTTTTTTTTTTTTTTTTTTTGCTAGAAAATCATTATTCATTTTTTTGTTTTCAAAAAGTTTTGCTTTCAAAATTGTTTCACAAAATTATTACTATATTAAGTTCTTTTTTCTCGCAAAGCTTCTCTCTAGAAAGATGAGGCAGGTAAAATTTAGCACTTTTTTTAATATGAAACAGAATTAACTATTATAGTATAAACAGGTGAACTTAACATTTGCTTCAGATAGTTAACATTAAAAATTATGAATGTTCAAAAATAATAAAATTTTTAATTCGGAAATAAATTTCTATTTAAATTAAATCAAATTTAACCTGAATCGCTGTATTTGTAAAATTACTGAACATAAATTATTCGACTTCGCATTTAAAAATAAAAAATAAATTATTTTCTCAGTTAACATTTTGGTATCTCAGTTAGCATTTGGTAACAAGAAACCATTGATAACTTCTAATTCAAAATTATTTTTATTTTTATCCAAAATTTCATATTAAAAGAGTAAAAAGTTGAAATAAGTTCTGGAATTAATCTTGTAAGCGTGTTCTAATTATTTCCTAACCGAAATTATCTGAACTGAGTAAAAATTTTCTTTTTTTTTAACAATTAAGCGATACATATGAATAATGTTTAAATTTTGTTTATTACATTTTATGCAAAAATTACTAATCTAATAATATGATCAAACAGTCATTTAAATTCTCAAGAAATCTGTTTTAAATTTCATTTTGCGAGATAAAAGGAAACATTCGTTTTAAATGCATAAATTTTAACAGTTTATGTTTAAAACTATTTTATTATTTTCACCTAGGTACCGCAGTTGCAGAGCCTGGGTCTCATGAAGTATCTTCTGTAATGGTAGAAACTGTGGCAAAACAATCGAAGCACAAAGGCGATCAACTTCCTAAGTTCAGATCAGACCCTTCAAAAATCACAAGCAAAGGACCTGGTCTCAAAAAAGCTATCACTCATAAAATGAATTCATTTCAAGTCAATTGCCAAGAAGCAGGTTTGTTATCAAATTTATAGTCATAAATTAGTTTAGCCTTCATTTAAAGCAATTTCAAGTTTCAGCTTTTAAAGTTAACTTGATAATTCTGTGGAAAGTACTCCTTTCAATTTGCTAAAGGATAAAAGATATTAAATTCTAATAAATGAAGAATCTCATGACGCTAGAAAATTGCCTTTTGCTTAACAAAAAATATTAAAAAAATCTTGATTTTACTAAACTATTGTTATTTTAAATACTGTTAAGAACTATTCTTTGTTTCTTCAATAAAGTGAGTTGTTCTCATAATAATTTTGTTTTGTTTTCTACATTTATAGGAAATAATATCCTTTTTGTGTCATTATATGGACCCAAAGGCCCTTGCGATGAGATCCATGTGAAGCATGCTGGCCGTAACATCTACAATATTACCTATATGGTGAAAGACAGAGGAGAACATATTCTCATAGTAAAATATGGCAACGATCACATCCCTGGTAGCCCTTTCAAGGTCGATTGCACATAAATTCTGTTAAAAGAAAAGTATCTTACAGATCTTTATATATTACCTTCCCATCCATGCATCTTAAGACAGAGACTCTGTATACTACTCTGCTTTTTTCTTTCTTTTAAAGTTTGAAAAAAAAATTTTTTTTTTAATTTTTTGCGTTACTTCGGCTTTTTTTCAATCTAAACAGGAAAGGAAAATATGCTTTGTTTTTTGCTCACTTAACATATCATCAAGCGATCATTTATTTGCTCATCTAAAATACTGCTTTCTTTCTGACTTAGGATAGTTTGGATGGAAGGCATCCTTCTAAAGTTAATGTTAAGTGTTCTTAAAGTGAAACTCGATCATGTGTAAATGTATTCTTCTACAAATAACAGCTAAGCAAATCGGTACGGTCGAAAATATAAACAATATTTTGAGTACTTTAAGGGTTTCACAATTAAAATAATAGCTATTTTTAAGAACGTCCAAAATCTCTTCTTTTCTCATAATTTTAGATTAGTAAAAACGCGGATGAACTGTGGGGTTAATTTCTTATCAATTCTCTGAATGCTTCTTCTGATGCTCTCTTATTTCAGATATGGTTGCACTGAGTAATATATATTTTTTATCTACTAATCTCGTAGCCCAAATAAATTGTTGAACAGATTTCGACCATGCCTATTTAAAATAAACATAATTTTTCCCATTTTCGTAATTTAAACACTTTAATTCAAATAAAGTATTGTTGAAGTAAATTTATAATAATCATTAAGGAATATATTCCTTTTGAATAAACTAAATCAGTCTTTTTTCCCATTTTTGTCTTGTGATGAAATGTTCTAGCTGTTTTTTTAATAACTGACAAAATGTATGAATTCATGTCAATCATGTTATGGGTATCTCTTGTGTTAGGTGATAAGGTGACTTGTTGCACGTCCTAGAATTAATTTATCATAATTATGGAGAAATAAATATTTATACTTTTGAAAAATATAACCCGGAATAATATACAGAAAGTACGCTTTGATAAGCAAGCTATGTTTCTATGTGATGGCAAAAAAGCAATGCACTTCGTTCCTTTTATAATAATCGAAAAGAAATATTTTTTGTCGTTAAATATAATAGATCATGAAATTTAACAACTTTGAAAAAGTAATATTGCCTACCACTGTACCGATAAATTAAAGCATTTCCTTAGTAAATATTTTAAACTTGAGCAAACTATTGTAATCATTATTAAATTATCAAGTAAATGTTATTAATATAATGTTTAGATCTGATTTTGATTTTATATTGTTTTCTGTTTGCATATTTTATTGAGAAACTGTGTAAGTATAAAATGATGATATAACTTCATTGTTTCATCGCCAAAAGACGCAGATATCTCCAATTATTACCGTTTGATGAAAAAGGTTTCGCTGGAGACTATACTGCGAAAAAAGTAATTATTTTATTATACTCTGCCTAGCCAATGTTTAAAACCTCATTCACCTGAGTTATTAAATCAGCTACTGTTTTATGCAAACATTAATTTTGGAGACCTCGATCAAATTCTAGAGGAATAATTCTCGATTGACTTCTACATAAGTTTTTAAAATAATTAGCGACGAATTTTATCAGAAATAAGAAGCTCACATCATACCAAGAGATACCTGTGTGAAATAAAAACTGCAAATAAAAAGCAATTTTTTTTTTTTTTTTTTTTTTTTTTTTTTTGTTGTTGAAAAATAACAAAAATAGTGAAATTTCACGTGTTTTGAAGCGAATATGATACAGGGCAAACATTTGAGCTATATTTAAATCTGGAAGAGATAAGATGCATGTAGAAGACAGTATTCTTTGTATTTCAGAATAAATGTTGTCAATTTTACTGTGCTTTGTTTTCTTTTGAATACTATGGCTAACTCACCTGCTTGTTTATACATCCACTGAAGTTTATGTGCGACACCTTTCCTACCAGAGAGATAACATTTTAAGTGTCATCAGTGTGGAATATATCTTCTTAACAATTTAGTGTAACAAAACCTGTATAAACATTATACTTCTTGCTTTTTATACTGCAAAATTCACATAAAATTTTATATTGTTTCTTTTAAAATTTAAGTCTTAAGTCAGGGATTTGATTTTAAAAGCCAAAAAAAAATATTTTAACGTTCAGAAATTAAATAGCACTTTTTATACATATTCATGATTTACAGTGGAAATATTATACATGACAGCATAAACAAATTGTATTTAAAATGGATGATTCCATGCAGTTCATCCTGTTTTTCTTAAGACTAATTATTGCAGCAATACAGAAAATTAAATTTTCAAAATTCAAATATTTTTATTATTATAGATCAACATTAAAAATCTTTATTATCAATGAAGATATCTGACAAATATGTAAATCAGAGTGACAGGCTTCTCTCATATTACAGCTAAGTCTAGTACAATTTTTTAGTCTAAAGCTGAAAGTATTGTAATGCTTTTCAGTGAACTTATGCAAGCAAGGAGAAACGTACATTTTATAAAGCTAGGTCTCAGTAATACATAATTAATCCTGAAAGTGTAATTATAGAAAAATTGTAATAAAGTAACAGGTTTCAACAATTACTTGATAAATCATTTTTCACATAAAATGTCTCTCTGTTTCTGTGTTCAGCTGTATTCGTTTTCTGACTAACATCATTCCCTTCCTTCTGTGTTGTTATTTGTGGCTTTTTCAGTGTATATGATAAAATATAAAGCAACCACAAAGTCACTTATTTTTAAATTAAAAGAAATACAATTTAAGATGTCCAAACATTCGTAGAAGTTAAATTCATATTGTCGCAGTTAAGATTTATACTATTACAGTATATTTAAGCCTCGGATTTTTATATTCTATGAGTTAGCATCGTAATAGGTAATAATTATAACTTAGCATCATAATAAGTAACATGTTTCGTCGGTTATTAATAATTTGATATTTTCAGAATAATAAATTTAAAAATGAGATTTCTACTACTTAAAATCAACAACAAATGAAGATAATTACAATATAAATTTGCAAGTAGTGATTCTGGAAGAAAGTTATGAAAAAAAGAGAAGAAAAACTGAAATACTTCCCTCACCTCAGTTGTACCTTTTATACTAAAATTAAGCGAATTATTTCCTAAAATGCTCGTGAATGTAAAATACCATGTTCTCATTGCGAAACTAATCAAAAGAATCAAGCCTGCTTTTTTATTTATCTAACTTTTAATTTACATGCTTTAGTATTCTATCGTGTCGTCATGTATTAAATTTGATCATAACTTACTCTGATCGAATTGGTCCAGTACAGTTATAGAAAATGAAATACCTAACAGTGAGCTCCATTTTAAAACAAATATCAATAAAGAAATAACTTTAAATATGTACTATGTTCAAGGTTACATTATTTGAATACAGCAAAGCAAATCAAGGCTATCTGCATAAGGGGAGGGATGCCTTCGTGGGTGACTTTCTAAAGGAAACTGGCCTGCATTCCCGTTACACCAACCACACAATCAGTTCGTTCGCCTAAGCTCGAATCAATGTTGAACTACTAGTATTCAGCAGTCTTAACTTCTCGGTCACTGGTGCAGGTAGAACGAAAACTTTATGCCCAGTAGATTACGGATGATTTTGGGCAATCCTGAAGAGATTCTATTGTAATAATTTCTTTTAAATCGTTCATTGATCTGCTTTATATAACTATTAGATATTCTATAATAATTACCATATGTTTATTTTTCAAACAAGGGGTTAAATAATTTTTCCATCTTTAAGTTTATTGCAATAGTAATATAGTGTTAAATTTTTGCCTTGTGAAGATAAAAAGACATCATCGTAGCCATGCCAGATTCATTACCTTATAGATATTTTAGCTTCAATTAGTTTTTGATCTATTCATTAGTCCGTTATAAATAAAATTCTGGAATAAATTGCTCAAATTTTTATAAAGTCATACTGAGAGATACGCCGACACTTATTTCATAATCGCAAACTAATTCACAAAACCTTTTCGAAATATTTCCTGCCAATGACGGACTGCTTTCCATAATCTTTAATATTCATTTTATTTCAAAATTTTGTAGTTGCCTAGAATTTTTGCATGAGATGTTCACACAAACACACACACACAAAAGGAATAATTTTCCTTTCTAACACAGTTATTTGGGTACATCTATAAAATAGCCGTTCTGTAGGTTATTTAGTACACACATATTTAATGACTGTATTTATGACTATTGCAGGACTCAGCATCTGCGTTGCTACTTTTAGGCGCAAGCAGAAGGCTTTCCATTCTTTGTGATCTGAGTCTCGTTTCATGATCTTCCTATTTTTTGATTAAAGAGAATGTTGAGTCAAGAATTTCGCAAATTTTTAATGATAATATATTTCTGCAAAATGTTCTTACTTTTTCTTTTTGCTCTATCGAAATACTCCTGCACCAGTGCTCTTCAATAATCTGGCTTTTATATGATTCAGGTTGGCTACCGAGGGAAAAAAAATATCTTTAAGAATTCTAATGAAAAGAATTAAATACAGTATAAAAATACTTCAGCCATAAACAAGAGAGAAAGATCATGCTTAAATTCAAAGTTTAGTCAACATTATTCTTTAAAACTCTTTCAGATTTCTTTCATAAAATATATTAATACATTTTTGTGCATTTTATATTTTTCCCGTCAAAATTTATAATATATGATATATATGATAACTGATATATGATATATATAATATGGAGAATATGATAACTACATATTTCAACCTGCATATAAAAGTTTGCTTCTTAAGGTACAATGACATCATATTCATTGGATTATTTAAGTTGTTTATAATCAACTATTTTAGTTTGTCGCTTACTTATCTGAAGTAACAGTTACATATATCACACTGCATTCAGAAAAGTAAATAGTAAGTATTAAAAATGTTATAAATGCACAGTAAATGCATAAAATGTTTCAGATTTGATTAGACAAGCTTAACGATAAATAGCATTTTGAGTGAAGAAATTATTTTGTCGAAACAAATGACACTAAAATTCTTTTTTATTAAAAAATAAACTCAATTTTTTTAATTTGAAAGCAAAATTGAAACATTTTAATTATAAAATTCATTTTTCTAAAAAAATAAAAGAAATAATTACGGAATGTATTCATGAAAAAATGAAAACTTTTCGCTCAAAACATGTTTAATTTTTCGTCTTAAAATTTACTGACAACTAAATCCACTTATGCACAAATACAGTTAAACCTTTGGAAAATTTTAGGGTAATATATCCTGAGGTTCACTGAAATTAGGGTTAAATTCGGTCTTTGAAAAAACATTAAATTTTTTAACGCAGAGACTTAAATATTGCTTTGACTAGCAACAGTAGCATTTTCTCCATCAGGGTAAAAATTCTCGTCTCATCCTATAAGGACCAGTTCATGAAAACTAATTTTATAAAAATATCACCCAACCACAATTAAATAACATTTTTGCACGTTTTGCTACTCAATTCTAAATGTAAAATTGTAATTGACTTTTGTTAATGGAAATGTTTCTTTTATCAGTTGAAGCCAACCAGCGGTTGAAAGGTAAACGATTGAACACTGCTACTTCGGTATGGGGTTCGAATCCCAGCGAACGGGCTGGCTGCATGGTCGTTTTCGTGGTTTTCCCCATGTATAACATGTATACGAGCCAGGTTCCCTTAAAAAGTCCTCCACGAAGGCATCCCTTCTCTTAGGCGGATAAACCAAACCAAATCTTTACCAACTGTGCTGTTTAGCTCAGCCCATCTTGTTCATGATAATCTTATAACATTATCCGCATTCTAGATGTAGATTATAGTTTAACAATAGCATCTGTGTTTTAATGTAAAGCGAATAGCTGTGTTTCTTCATATACTGTGTGTCTTCCCTATGTTATCTTCAGTGGATACTTTTTGCTTTTGTGGCTTTTTATTTATAAAAAGCATTACCTCCTATGTTCTTAAGAATTATATTGTACCATCTAAAGTTTTCAAATTTTAAAAAAATGACGCTTTTCTAAACATAAGGGAGAGCACTCACTCCCTTTTAAGTTTAACTCACTTGTATAAGATATATGTCTGAAATTACTTTCTCAGTACCCCCTCCCCCAAATTTAGTGCATTTATCATATCGATTAGTTAGCGTATTATTACAGCCGCGGTTAAAAAAAAAAAAAAAAAGAGAGAGAGAGAGAGAGAGAGAGATGGGGAAGGGGGAGAAAACTTTTATTAGAGCTCTTGAACTATTCCTAAATCATTGCAATCTCCAAATACAAGTTTTAAAAAAAATCACTAAAGTGAATGTAATAAAAGTTAAAAAAATCTGCTGAATAGCAGGCTGAGAAGTCTGAGCCTTGTGAGCTGGAGTCATTAATTTGCATAATAAACAATTATTACAACGTCAGTCATTGTGTGGCATATACTTAATAGAGTGTTGCCTCTCATCATCCCGAAATAAAAGTTGCTGGGCATTTTCTAGGTACTTGGGCAGATTATAGACCAGAACTGGTGGAGTTGAAAAGATACCCTGTGCTTCTGGGCCTTGTTTCGTTTCTGGCTAATATTGTGGATACCAATTTTCATTTCTTGCCACTGACCGTTATTACTTAGATTATCGCAAAGTACATAAGGGCTGTCTGCCTGAGAGTAGATTGGAGAACTTTGTAAGAAAAACTGTCTGATATTTACCTTACATATTAAATGGACAACCACAAAAACTGTTATGCAGCCAATCATTTGCCAGGATTTGAAACCGGGTTCAACTACGAGTTTTCAGCAATTTTACCGCTGTACCGCTTTCAAGTTAATCATTAATAGTGACTAAATTACTTAATAGGAATTTATTACAGAGAGCAATCACAA